GCAACTTAACAGGTTCCCAATAAATTGTTAATGAAAATTCATAATTATTTAAATACATCCAACCATTGTTCTAGAATTGCTTTTTGCAGAGCTTTATCCTGCTGAACTTGCCCCTTTTCCTATTCAAAATAAATAAAGTCAGGGAAAGCTGGGTGACTCATTTGTTAATGTTTAGGCAAATAAAATTGGAAGATGTTAGAGGCAAAATTATTGGAAACGTCAACTAAAACAAGGTTTTGGCATTACGTAGTAGAAGGTATATCTGATTGGGAGTTGGCTAGAATATAATATTCAGTAAAATTTGCCAATATTAGTTGGTTCTCCTGAATAGTCAGAAAATAGGTGGGAGACATCAGCTGCTGGTATTTTTTCCCATAGCTCTTACTTCTCTGAATTATAATTAGTCAATGCTTGCTTATCTCCAATGCTAGATTTTAAGTCTTTGAAAACAAATTCCACAGTGCGCCCTTCATATTACAAGCCTGACATGAATTTGATTTCAGTCAATAATTGTTAATTGAACAAATGCTATTACAGTGGTGTCATAACAAAACATTGGCTAGAAAAATAGGGCTACCAGCTTCAAAATTTCAGGACAATAAATCTGTAATATATGCCTAAGGAAACCAGTTTTATGAAGGAATTTATAAGCCTATCAGTCGGGTTTTACTAAATTATTCTGGTAAATATATGTAACAAACTTGCTATTTTAGTCATTCTTAAGTATACAGTTCAATGAATAAAACATTGTTTTATTTTTCTCTCCTAACACTATTTGGTTCATTATGTTCCAGCCATTTTGAGGTCAAATTCATTTTTTTAAAGATTTATTTATTTATAAATACAGTACTGGGGTACAGGCCAGAGGTGTGGGGTGCAGTGAGAGGCTTCACCTGAGACAGGGTGGGGAGCAGAACAAGCAAATCCACTGAAATATATTGCTGAGGGGAGCAGTGGGCAGTTCACCATGCTGGTCACCTCTGGAGTGGGGATCAAACTCATGCTGAAGTGGCTTTAGCTTCTTAGTACTGTGCTTTAATCCACTGTGCCACCAGGGAGGGCCATCAAATTCTTTTTAAGGAAAACAATCCCATTTTGCAAATACAAAATCTGCAGTTTGTAGAGGTTCAATAAGCAGTCCAAGGAGCTTGTGGTATGTGTCTTTTCCAGAATTTAAAATTGAATCTGACACTGTAGCCCTTGCTTTTCACACTAAGCCACAAAAATATGAATGTGGATAAAGATCCACCATTTATAGCACAATTAATTTGAGTTCTTTATCAGTTGAAATGAAGTACTATTTTACCAAAGGAGGATCCCACTTGTCATTAATCATTTATATGTCTGAGTGGTTGGATTATAGTTAATGACTATGAAGGTTAATACTTCTTTTCTCTGAAGATTGCACAGATCAAATTTTGAACTTGGAAGTCTTTTTCTTTACATTAAAATAAATATATTTATACTGATACAACTTAAAATCTGTCTTAGCTTCATACGTTTTTTTGTGGGAGCAGAGGGTTGGGTTAAATATAATCCTTATGCCATGGCACATTACTAGTTCCTGTCGCTAGTCTGCTGGGGTTCCTGTCTGGTTTCCTTTGCTCCCTCTCAGACCCCTCCCCACCCAATATAATTAACCATTCTAATGGGTTAAATATGTGTGCCTTTGTGTATACACTTCTAAACCAGGTTACTGTGGTGTTTTGTACAGTAATCTAACTTTAATTAATATTAAGTACATGAATGGTGTTGACTCCATTCTGTTTCCCTCTTTTAATTCAGTATTAGTTTTAAAAATCTCTATGTGACCATTTCCAACCCCATTTCATCTGTTATCTCCGACTCCTTACTACTTCCATTAATTGTAATGAACATTAACTAATTATACATAATACATATCAAGAGTGGAGTTGCTGGTTTATGAGTTATGTGCTTAATTTGATTAAATAGTGCCAGGCTGCTCTCCAAATGCGCCCTCCCTGCCCTGCCCCCTCAGGGCCTGAGAATGCCTCTATCCCCATAGCTACACTTTGGCTTAATGATCCAGCTTTCAAATTTTGCCAGTCTAATAGTATAAATTAATATCTCATTAATTTTTATTTTCATAATTACTAATTAGACATTTCTTCATATGTCTCTGACCCTTTTAAATTTTACAGCTTTTGATCATATTCCTGTTGGCATTGCTGGTTTTTTCTGCTTCATTTGTAAAAGTTCTCTCTATATGCCCCATTGACTTTAAATAACCTAGATAGCTTTTCCTGCTCTGTCTTTCTGCTTGTAATTAAAGTTCAGGAAATACCTTCTATCTAGTTTGCCAACAATTTAAAAGTTTAAAAAATATTTAAAAGGTGTTAAACCTTCTCAAATGCTTTTCTCCATCAGTTAACAAAATATTTCAGTTTTTCTCTTTTAGTTTCTAAACAGGGTGATTTTTCTTGAAAACTTTCCTGATATTTAACTATTCTTGAGTTCCTGGAATATACTTTTAATAATATTTTGTAAAGTTAAGTCATGTGAACTAGCTTTTCTTAGGTCAGAAAATAGTAAAATATTTTCTATATTCCCATATCAAATACAGTGGGTTTAATATTCTTTTAATTAAATTTACTTTCTTAAGAACATCTTTACAACCATGTTCATAAACTAAGCTAGACTATCATTTTCCTCATTTGTCATTATATTTTGAAACAGAATGAGAATTACTCTACTCTCAAAAAATTAGGTTGATGGATTTTTTACATTTTCATGTTAGCTTCCTGTTCCATGTTCATTTACATAAGAGATGATTTATTAGCATTTGAAATTAATAAAATTCAAATATGATCTAGGACTTGGGTATCTTTGAAATGGAAAGTCTTGACTATCATGTCGATTTTTTTAATAATTATTGGTTGATTGCAGTTTTACATTTACCTTTGCATTACATATGACATTTAATATTTTTTGAGAAATCTGTCAGCTGAACTTTAAAATTTGCCAACATTTAGTTCATATTGACATATGAACTGTCTATCCTATGTGAGTATCCTTAATCTTATTTTTAAATTCTGGCTTCAATTATTTCTTCTTTCTAGTTCTGTAATTTATTTGTATCCTCTATATTTTTCCTTGAGAAGTATTTACAGGGTTTTTGAATAATCATTTTTAATCTAAAAATCTTCATTGTAGTGTTTTTGTTTTGGTTATTGTTTTGCTTGGTTGTGAGAGTCTGTTTTCATTAACAGATGCTCTTACTTCTGCTGTTTTCTCTCATTTCCTTGCATTGGGGTAAGCAGCTCTTTTTCCAGCTAATAAGTTATAGTATTTCTACTAAAGTACATACATATAAATAGTATTTGCAAACATATGCTATGTGTAATATAGTTACATTTTGACTTTTTCTTGTGATCTGAAACTTTACTTTAAATAATCTCTAGTTTTTACTTTATATTTCTTAAATTTGAGACCTAGAATTAAAATTTTTATTCAGTTGTGAATACTGATTTTCTAATCTTCATTTTTTCCCTTTTAAATTTTGAGCTTTTATTTTATGTCTAAATACAAGGAGTTTGGAAATTACCTTTTTTGTTAATTTATTGTTTTTCATAAGTTTATTGTACAGTGTTCAAAGAGACAACCTGTATGATATTAAATCTTGGATAATTATTTTAAAATTTTTATGGCTGGCTACATTCCATGTCTGTAATTGCTTTATGTGTGCCTTCCCCAGATGTAAAATCCCCTGTATCTAAAACTTTGTGCTTATTGTTTCATTAGTCATTACTATCTTTTCTTTAATCACTTTAAAATTTTTATCTTATTTTACTGAGGTAAATTCACTTTTCAATACAGTATATTATTTCGAGGCATAGAGTCATAGCTTTCCAGATGGATGTTACACCTATCACCAAAGCACCCATAATCCTTCACCACAGACCTTTGGGTTCCCTCACTGCTTTGCTGCTTTCTCCCACCCTCACTTCTGGTAACCTCATTTCTGCAGATTTATAGGGTTTGTTTTAGTTGAATTTGTCTGTTCCTCTGTTGTGTTTTTTCATATTCCGCATATGAATGACATCATCTGGTATTTGCCTTTCTCCTGATGTGATTTATATCACTTAGCACACTCTCCTCCATTGCCACCCATGTTGTCACAAGTAGCAAGATTTCATCTCTTGTTATAGCAAAATAATACTTTGTTTATATGCCAATTTGAGTTCAGCAGGGAAGCCAAGGATTCTACCACATTGTGTCCACTTTGTTAGGTAAGACGATAAATACCAGATGGTGCCACTACTATGCAGAATATGAGGAAACTAAACTGAGAGTCAGATAAAGACAAGCTTAAAAACTCACCCTTGATAGCTGACTACAGAACTGAAGCACCAGGGGGGAGGGGTTAAGAACAAAGAAGGAAATTGGACTTCGGTGGTGGTTACCTGATAAAGGTATTCAAATATTACTCATTAAAAATAAAATTTTAAAATAATAATGCAAGGTCCTCCCTGGTGGCACAGTGGGTTAAAGCACAACACTAAGAAGCTAAAGCCACTTCAGTATGAGTTCGATTCCTGCCCTATAGGTTACCCACATAGTGTGGCAGACCTCTTCTGGCCTGCCTGCTGCTCCCCTCAGCAGTGTGCTTCGTCAGTCAGCCTGTTCTGCTCCCCACTCTGTCTCTGGCGAATCCTCTCACCGCCCTCTGGCCTGTACCCCAATTCTGAATGCATAAATAAATAAATCTTTCAAGATAATTCATGTAAAGTCTATACCATTGCAAAATTGAACAGTTGGAGATTTTATGGGTGAGCTAGTCTTTGTATATGAAGATAAAACAAATTTTTCACTCTAAGCTATGACAAAAAGTTATGAATAAGTTACATACTTCATTATGAACAGTGAACATTTGTTGAAATAAAATTGCAGTGAAGGAAAAATGCTGACATTTTATAAGATGGATTCAACTGCCCTTGTAAATACTTTTATTTAACCCTTTCTTTTGTTGTTGTTCACAGAAAAAATCAGACAACGATATGCAGATCTGCCTGGAGAATTGCACATTATTGAACTTGAAAAAGATAAGAATGGGCTGGGACTCAGTCTTGCCGGTAATAAAGATCGGTCACGTATGAGCATATTTGTGGTGGGAATTAACCCAGAAGGACCTGCTGCCATGGATGGGCGAATGCGTATTGGTGATGAACTCTTAGAGGTGAGAAGTGTTTATTTTTCTTTCTCCTTGCTGAGGTGCAGAGGCTAATGTACAGGAAAAAGAGGTGAAAGGGAAGATTATTGACAACTATATAAAATCATTTTCTAAAGCAAGGACAGTAATAATATTGTTGCTTATAAATGCTTATTTGTTGCTTAAGTCAAACTTATTTCTCAAAATAATTTAACAGCCCTTAATTGAAATTTCTTAGAAACAGTAAAAGAAGATAGGGCTAGCTTTCAACTTAAAACAGTTCAAAACTAATTTGGTTGTTTGTTAATCCAGACTTGTTAGTATTCATCAAAATTCTTTGGATTTTGAATTAGCCATAAGTATGACATTTGTTTTTTGTTGTTTAATTCTTTTGCAAAGTGTTAGAATTAAGAAAACATTGTGAACTTGTTGACAATGAAGGGTTAACATCTGAAGTTGCTGATAAGGGTTCAGACCTGTTTGGACCTTCTCGGGGAACAAAATAGAAGTAAGAATAGCTCAGGAGCCTGACCCTCTGCTAATTACTCTCTAACTGATTTCTTCATTGATCTTATTCTTATTTTCCTAACTTAAACTCAGGATTTGTGTTCTAAGTTTATCTTGGTTTGTTATTCTTTTGTTTTGTTTTGTTTTGCTTGTTCAATCATTCATTAAACTAAATTTGAGTGTCCCTTACTGCCAGACACAGAAAAAGAGATGAAAACTTCCAGTCCCTTCACTCAAATAGTTCACAGTCCAGAGGAAGAAAAGATACTTTCACTAGAAAATAAAAATATGACAATAGCTAGTGTTTACTCAATACCAGCCACAGTAGGTCACAAAGCAAATGATAGTGCTGGAATTTGGTATCAGGTGGTTTGACTGCTCAGTGCATAGTTATCCAGGGTGCTGTGAACCCTGTAGTGTGAAATACTTAACAACCCTTGGACATTTGGGGAAACTGAATCCAGAAGCCTCAAGTTCAGACTGCTTACTTGACATGAGGGCTTACTGATTTTGCATTTTATAATTTCCTCTGCAGAATCTGAATCAGAAAAGAATGCACAGTCACCTATAGTTGGCAGGTTTAATAATATCCACAGCCAAAGCTGGTCAGACAATTCTAAATTTGTCAGCATCACTTCTCTATTCCAAGTGCCAACTATTTCCCCACCTAAAAATCTATTTCTACAAAGTCACAGTAGAATTCTTCTCTTTTCTTATTCTTTTGTAATATAGCATCATGAAAGGGACCTACGTTGGGTAGTGACTACCATAGTCATTAAATAAAAATCAAAGGTGATTCTTATTAAGCAATATAATTAATTGCTTCATGTTTATTTCCTTTGACTAATGTTTAAAAATGGTCTCGGGGTGATAAAGTTATGGTACCGTTGGTGGTAATTCTGAAAGTTGGAGGTTTATGGAGTTATTATTTATACTTGACCAGTGAGCTCCACACATTTGTATTCAATATTATTAAGGGCTCTGGAAGGTCTCCATTATATGGATGTAAAAATTGCAAAATAACAAGCTTAGTATTACAGTACTGAGTGACTAAGCTTGATAAGAACCCAGACTCCAAGACCCATGACTAGCCAGTAGACTCTTCCCCTTTGTTAGCTTCAGCCAAACCCCATTTGTTTAGATCTATGAGAATCCTGATTTATGATTCTCTAGTCTTTAGGGAATCATGTATATTTAGTCACCTTTGTGCACACATACTGAGACACTGATTTCCTGTCTTGTATGTTATATGGGAATGTTCCAAAGACTGTATTTTGGAACATGGAGAGTCTAGTTCTATTCTCTACCTTATTAAGACTCAAAAGTGAATATCCTATGGGATTCAGACCAGCTGAAGCTCTGGTATTTTAGTTCTCTGTCTGACATTTTATTAGATATTGGTTACAAATAAGCTGTGTCTACAGAGAAATGAGAGTATTTTATAGGTATATCCAGAATGCAGGGCATTCTTTGTGTAAGGTAAAGCAAGGTGCTTTGGACTTAGAAGACGCACTTGTCCCAGTTCTTTCAGCTTGTATTTTGGGAAAAGATTGACATAGTGCCTGGCACATAGTTCACTGTTGATTCAATCACATTTCTTTCCTCACAGAAACGTCAGGTATCTGTGTGCTAGCTAGAGGCTAGAGAAGCTCTCCCAGGTGAAGCAGAATATTTACATCTTGCTATAATATTGGACTGTTCCTTCTGTTCACATTTGGATTTGGTCGTTTTGTTTACTCTTCAGCAACATTATCTTTATTCAGAGATGCAGTGAACAGAGATAAACTTCTTTCCAATGATCCTCTTATTTAAAAATAAATATCAGTTACAGAAATATGCTGAAATATAGATAATAGTGCCATGTACCTGTGCAGAGTTAACATATCTTCTATAAGCCTTGGTTACCTTATTTCACAAATGGAAGTCATTTCTCCATTCAGCAGTGTCTTATTGTCCATTTGCCAGGTAGGAGGCAGTATATAGATGAAGTGCAGATTTTACATTAGTGAGCCAAAGACATGGTCCTGTTCTCACAGAGCTTATAGTTTGGTGATTGTATACATCATGCTCAAAAGGGATTGTGATGACTGAGAAAAGGTATGGCAAGTTTTTCCCTTCATATAATATTTTAAAACATTTCAAATGATTGTATTTATAAAATAATAATTCCTCATAGATTTCAGTTAATTTTAGTTTAATTATATGAGTTCAGAGATAAATTAACTACATTTATCTCTGAACTTATGAACTTATGTCCCAGAGAAAAGTCTTATTCTTCAGTAGCTCCATGCAGTATCTTTAAAAGTTGTGAGAGCAGAAAAATGCACATTTTAGATTCTAAGCAGTTGTAACCCATCTTTTCATGTAACTTCTGGCTTTAGGTTAGGAATGGGGGGAAAATAAATTCATGTGGGAAACATTTCCCTGGTTTCTTTTTATAGCTGAGAAAATATTTCAGTCATTTCTCCATGATGTGTGGGGAATTTATATATAACATAATATCAAGTCCAATGTACTTTTGAACAGAAATAGGAAATTGATTTAATGGTGAATACCAGGAAAACAAAAGTCAGAGTTACAATAGCTGTGCATGGCTATTTTAATGCATTAGATTGTGGAAGGACACAGTGTGACAATAGGCTTTTTGATTATACTTACTAGATTTCTGGGGATAGGAGCAGATCTGGTATGTTTGCTTACCAGCCCACACTGCATTTATTTTATGTCCTTTCTCTTCAGTGGAGGTAAAATTTTCCATGCCTTGGTCATTTTTACAACATCACCCTTTGCTCAGATTGTTTCTCATTACTTTCTCATTATTGTAATATCATTTATTTACTTTGCTAACAGCTTTCCTTTATTTGTAGTTGACCTGAAATGAGGCTAACTTACAGAAAACACAAAAGAACCTACATTGTGGCTTCTTTTATTGAGCCTACCTGGTGGCTTCTTTGAAGTTAGAAACTCTGCCTCTTACAGGAGCTCTGTCCATGGCTGTTTCTGTGCACCGCCTTTGCCAATAGTCTCGTTGCTTCGGCTCTGTAGCCTTACAGTGGAAGAGCAGTCAGTGACTCCTGTCAATCGATGGCTCAGTTCATGTATAAAAGAAACCTTACATTATGTCCCCAGAAGACACCATGATTAAATCTCTGCTGCTTTACCCTTTGCTGTGATGCTAGTGTGGAGGTTCTGAATTAATTTGAAAAAGCATTAGAATATAATTACTTTGTAGGATGGAACGAGACCTGCACTAGAGTATTGACTTTCCCTAAGCAATTAGCCCCAGAAAATGCGCAGGCCTGGGCATGGTGCTGTCATATGAATGTAGGATTTATATATAATCTGCTCTACAATGCAAGTGTAGGAAGAGAGTGCTGATAATGCTTTGTGGAGAACTGGAGTGGTATGTCAGGTTACAGAGCAGCCAGAAGGCCAGTGTGGATGGCACTAAAGCAGAGTTTATTGGGTTAGCACTAGAGCTGTGTCTTGTCTGGCTCCAGTGCCCTTCAGGAGAGAGGATATGCATTCCAGCTTCATAGCTTTTCCCTACAGGATAACCAAGACTAAACCACATCGTTTTTGCATCTGTATGATGTGTTTATTTAAGAACTATTAAAAATAATTAACATGAGTGTGTCCCATATATGCCAGGGGTAAAGACATAGAAGTACAGATAAAAACAGATCTCATTGTCTAAAAATATTTTGTAAAAGAAAAAGCCTGGATTCATAGTTACATGGCTGACCAGAGCACAGGCAGTTTCATTCATCAGGAAACTCTTACCAAAGGGCCTTTACCCACACCCCAGCCCCTACATTAGATCCCTTACATTCTACTTGTTTTGGATGTTATCTTAGACTGATTGTTAGATTTTTTAAGATTATTAGTATATATGAATGTGGTTTTTATAAAATATACATTTTAATATAATAAGTATGCCCCTAGAGAGCTTATGGAGTAAAATATCCCTTTGCAGTTTCCAAAGCCCTCAATATTCCAGAATTTGTGATTGTTTAACTGCGGTTTGATTTGGTCAATAGCTTTTCACTCTTTGGACAAAAGTAGTATTGCAAAATAATTAATAATGTAAGCAAGTATTTAAAGCATAATGAAGCATCTTTTACATTCATGTAATTAATATGCCAAGCTTCTTCTCTATTAAATTAAAGCAGGTCATCGTAGGACTTTTCTAGATAATTCTTAAGTAGCCTAATTATAATGTGTTTGTGTGTAGTTGAAGTAATCAGACAGACCTCTGTTTTAAAATAAAATATCCCATTGTACAAACGCACGTTAGAGAAATAAAAAGGATTTTTAAATTACAACAGAACTATTTTTCATGTAATTTTTATTAACAGAGATAGGGTTATAATCACTAAAAATAAAAACTTGACCAGTCACTTCATGTCAAACCATATTAAACTTTAAATGTCTGATTTATTGTAAATCTACAGTGCCTCAAGAAATCTGTTTTAAAATTTGGTTGGCTAATCAAATCTGACATGCGTTAGTAATTTGGT